GGAGAATAGCACGCAAATAGGAGAGGGAGATAATCCATCAGCTGGATAGTTCATTCCTTGGGTTAGCAGGTGATTAGGGTTAACATTCTTGAGGAGCAAGGTATTAGAATTATAGGGAGTTGGGTTTTTAATTTCTTGGTTGTTTCCCATACTCCTAGGGAAGACAGTCTAGAAAAAGGACCTTTTGAAGCTCGTGTGGGGCTGTGAAGTGTGATGCTACTGTTTACCTTGCCCTGGCAGTCCTCTGCCTGCCTCTCCTCTGAGGGGATTCCAGCGGGGTGGTCAACTGCCTTAAGTGAATTAGATGGGCACATTCCTCTGGGCTGAACTATGCTTGGCATCCTTTGATAGCTGACAACCTTCAGTCCCTCTAACAACCCCAGCTTGAGGTTTTTCAGCCTTTGAAGTCATGTGGTCCTAAAAAGTTTTTTAGTGTTTTGGTTTTTTTCCTCCCTTATTCCAGTGCACTGCTCTGGTTCCTGCTCCCAGCAGCAGCACCTACAAACCAGGTGTTGGAGAAACAAGGAAACCCCCTACCTTGGCTTTTCTTTTCCTTTTCAGATGTGTTGGCATCTGAGGGGGCACAGGCAGGTTTTGCTAGCAGAGATTAATGCAGCACTATCAATCTGGAAACCAAACTTTGGCTGGCAATGACCATACAGGGGCAGATGAGGAAAACCAGGGCTGAGCTGAGCAGCGTGATGCCTTCAGCCATGCTTGCTCTCCTGGGAAATGTCCCTGTGACTTGTGACCTGCTTGGCTGGAAGCGCTCAGCCAGCGGCCAAAGATTGTTCCTGCATCCAGTTTTGGCTCACCCTCTGAATTTATACCCCTTTGATATTATCAGATACTTCCTGACTCATCCTGGCTGGCAGTGTTGCCAGCTTTTTGAGGTCCCTATTGGTTTGCCTCCAAAGTTCAAGCACATCATGAGGGCTCTGCTGACCCACAGCATGAGCAAGCACCAGAACTACAGACAGATATTGAACCCTGATCTGAAGAACACCAAAGGTGCTCGGTCTGTGTTAGTCAGCACTTCCAGCACCCTCTGCTACCATATGGCAGCTCATTTCTGCCCTGGCTTAGCCATCCCCAGTACAGACCTCTTAAAACCGTTGGTGAGTGCCGTGCTCAGGGCATGCACGAGCTGCGAGCTGCTCTTGCCCATGCAATGTCAGGTCGGCCGGGCGCCTTCAGGCAGCATTGCAGAGGTTGAGGGGTTTGCTGTCGCAATAGCACTTGCAGTGATGATGCCTGGCATCACTGCTGCTGGGGAAAGGCTGACTTGGTGTTGGTGTAGCTTGTGTGTGTGGGGAAATAATCCAATTATCTGAGGTCAGAAGTGCAGGCGCAGGGAGGCTGGTGGAGCCTGGGGCAGGGTATGCTGGGCCAGAGGACCTGGGTTTTTCACTCATGCCTTGATATCAACTTGTATTGCTGATATGCCTTTCCACCCATGCATGTCTAAAGCAGCCCCTCTGCTCTCTGCTAGAGACCATACCTCCTCTTGCATAAGGCCCAGGATGGCTGCATGGTGTTAAATCCTTGAGAAAGACCCTGATGCTCAGTGCTCCTCATGAATCTAGCCAGCGGTTTTGTGTTCCACCCTCGGCCATGAGAACCAGCGGGCTACGCTCTCCTGGGGTTGTGGCTGGTGGCACCTTCAGGTCTTGTGATGTGGGAGGTTGGGGACTAACAATACCTGCTAGAAATGGCACTTGTACCTTCTTTGTTTTAAAAAGGAGATGCACTTTCAGCAGCCTTCCTGCTTTGTACTTTGTCCCTCCAGGAGGTGTGTTGGGAAGACCATATGGGGATTCTTCAACCTGGTCAGGAAAGGGCAAGGGGGGGTGGGGGGGTACCAATGTAAAAGCAAAAAGGGCACAAATCAACCGTTTGAACCTCAGCATGAAGGAGGCAGGTTCCTGCAACTTGTTTCTGGCCACTGAAAGCGCTGTACCAGATGGTGTTGTTCCCTAACAAAAGTTGCTGCAGGTTTTTTGCAGGTCCCACCATGCTGGCATGGGACCTGCCTGTTCATAGAGGACCTGGCACACGCTGCCTGTGGCACATCAGCGTGGAGAACTATGCAAGGGGATGGAGCAGCACAGGGAATACTTGGTTTTTTGGTATTGCAGTGCCTGAAGGGAGCCACCAGCCTCTGCAGGAGGAAGGGACAGGATGAGCGGGGGACTCATCGTGTTTGTTGGATGGAGTCAGTGCTGTAGGCAGGCTTTGTCCTGGTGAGATGCTGTTGGCAAAGCCAAGCTGTGAAAACCAGTGCATTCATCTGAACTAATGGCCTTTAAGCTCAGGATTATCACAGTAATGCAGCTCAAGTTCACATGCCAGTAAATCCCAAGTCTTAACCAGGAAGCATAGAGGTCTTGGGATGAGCAGACATCCGAGTGCGCTGTTGACAGCAGAAGCTTTGCAGGAGGTGGTAATGCTTTGGAAAGCTGGGAAGGAAAAGGTGGGATGGCTGGGTGCTTCCCTGCTGCTGTGGTATGGAAACCATGGGTGCTGAGCTAGGTGGCTTATTTGGTAACCAAACTCCAGCTTGTCATCCATCTCCTCTCCCTTATCCTAAGGTCTATCAGCCTTGTGCCTCAGCAGACAGAGAGCCAGAGGAGGGTGAAAGCTCAGAGGCATCTCCAAGCGCCCATCCCTGGGAGAAGAGCACCCATGGCCTCAGTCCCACCTCCCAGACTCTCCTTCTTGGGAAACGGGGTCCATCGCAGGGATATCCACAGTGCCAGGAAAAAAATTTTGGGTCAAGAGTGCCAGGGACTTGTACTTCTAAATGCCTTGGGCTCTAATAGAAGCCTTGCCCCAGAGCTGACTTTAAGCCCCTGTTTGACCATATATTTGCAGTTTCTAGACAGAAAATGCTTTAGTGAAAGGTGTGCTACGTGCCCAGCACTTGCTGCAGTGAGCTGGAGGAGCTGCAGTGAGCTGGAGGTCCTTAGCTGAGATGTCCCTTCTGCTGTCCTCTTCCATGGAAGGTGTGCAGGTTGAGTGAAGCTATATTAAACACTTGCAGACTTCTGTTTGCACTGGTGGCTGAAAACACACAAAAACATAGTTTAGTGAGTCCCTGGTGCCGCATCTCACCCTTTCTACACACAGGCATGTAGTGTTTCCATCTGCCCTTCAGCACAAGGTGCTGCCTGTGCCCTAGGAGCCTTGTGGCTCTCCTGAGTGCTCAGTAGTGAGGAGCTTTGCTGGAGAAACCCCACGTTGCACAGCCCCTGCTCCCAAATTTGAGTCCTTCCCACACTATGGTTCCTTGGTGCAGCTTTATGTGCAGTAAGAGTTGTGTGGTGGGCTAGCAATAGCTCTGTTCCATTGAAAACTCATCTTTGGTGCGGATTAGGTCCTTACTTGCCACCTTGGGTGTAGCACCTGCACGGGTGGCATTTCAGTTTGATGTCGGGGGGACAGCAGGTTTGGCTGTGGTGGCTGACAACATATTATTGGGTAGCTTGGTGATGGGAGGGAAAGCCTTATGTGCCCACCAGTGATGCCCAGCCATGTATGATTGCTGGGACAGTGGCCTCAGGCTAAGCCTGAACCACTGTCCCCGCATATGATCTGCAAACTTCTGCTCACAAAGAGCTACCGTGATAGCTGTCTGTACTTTCACTGCTATTGTTTCTCACTTAGGTAAGCACCAAGCTCCTGTCTCTGGAGCTGAGGTGGAAGTTTGGCTTTGGGGTTCCAACAAAATCAGCATTTTGCTGCGTTTTTTTGTCCTCCGCATTCATATAATTTGTTCGTTGTGGCTTGCTTGTGCTGGAGCGAGTTCTTGCTCTTTCCAGTGCTGGTCTTGGGATGCTCTTGGGGTGTAAATAAATAAATTCACAGGAATAAAAATGCCTCCCGATGTCACTCAGTGTTGGCATGCTCTTCCCTTGGCCCAACCGTGCCAAGGGAGCTAGCTGCTAGCACTGGCCCAGGGCTGAGTTTAGTCC